GTAGAAATTATATAACATGTATCTTTCCTCAAACCACAGAAGGTGTACGTTAATAACTAAATAATATTTTGCATATTGCCTTTTTGCAACACTTATTGACCCATACACACGTGCACGCGCAAGCACACAATCATACGAATACTCATATATACAAGGTGTGAAATTTAACACTAAATATAACAAGCTTTATTAATTCGTTAAATTGATATTCTCTGTCGTACAATACAACTCACTTGACTGAGTGAAATTAATTTGGTATCTTTAATGATAATGATACAAAGCCAAACCAATTTAGTAGTAGTTTGTAAATTGACATCCGTTTGAGATAATATGGCATTAAAATGTTAATGACCTTTGTGTGTTATTGTATATCAAGATTTTAGTTTAAGCATACTGACAGCATATATCATTGAATAAAATAGTTTAAAATAATTTTTGGTTCGCGTCATCTTAATTTTTGGAAGTTTTACTTAAAAATGAACGAATACAGTATTAGGAAGACAGTAAATGTTTAATTATTGTACAAAGCAAAGTTTAGTAAGGAATGGTGATATATATTTACATGTTATTTCTAAATATACTATATATCCTAAATAAAAGAACAAATGTGTATGTTATTCTTTTCCCAAAAACTTTTTCAAATTCTTATCGGCATAATGTGCCGTCTTTCTTTCGGATGTATCCCATATCATTATTTTTTCTTGGACCCACGACCCCGCCAAGCAAATAGTCGAGAATTAACAAGTAAAAATGAAGCCCCCGCCGTTTACTATATTCATTAAACTAAGCTAATAAGCGTGTTTTTGCTCCGTGTCGCTGTCATTTTATTTCTTACATCTCGCTCCGCGCCCCCGCGGGGCAATATTGCATTTGCTTCGGGTCCGCCGTTGTATGTTTCAAATTTCGCTCCACGCCCACGCAGGGCGATGTTTTATTTATTAAATCTGTCCCACGGCCCAGCTAAAAAGCCTATTTTCGCACATCACGCCACCGGTTTAGTAGTTAAAATCTCGACTTTTCGTCCTGCGTTCCGCTAATTAGCATGTATTCGCTCCGCGCCCCCGCCGTTTTATACATACAGTAAAACTCGTATCGCGCCTCTGCTAAAAAGAGTGTTTTCGCTCCGCGCCTCCGCTGTTTAACACGTTCGCGAAAACACACAAATAAGCGGGAACGCGGAGCAGGAAGCTTTTATGGAAAATAAGGTGGGGGTTGGGTGAACAACAGCAGGCTTATTAGCGCCCTAAACAATAAGTATTACCCTTTCGCTGCCAGAGGGTTATTGTTTTATTGATCACCTATTTGCCAGAGGGTTTTCTAAGAAATTACTATATTATTAATTAATATAATTATTATTATTTGTTATTAGTATTATAATAATTATATATGTTTCCAAATCTGTGAGTATAATAATAATTATTGTCGATGGTATAATTGTCTTTATATTTATTATTAGTTTTATTATAATTATTATTAATTTATTATTATTACTATTATTATTATAGAAACGGCTAACGTTTTAATTGTTTTATTGGATAATAGTACTACGTAAAGTATAGTATATCATTGATATCCGAAATATATGTTACTTCGTTATTCTTGCAGACCAACCGTTGAGCCGGAAGAAGGATTCTCACACAGGAAAAACGAATGACATCTTTTTGAAAATAAAATAATTAACGCAACATACATTATCCCATAGTGTAAAAGTAATCAGATGTAAAAATGCATGTGCAGTAAGAATTGTAATTGAACATTTAAGTCACACATCATATGATACTGATAATATACAGGTTTAAAAATTCTTCTGTTTGTGTGAACGTCAGAAAATAGAAGTCAGCAATTGAGCTTATAAATATTGAAAACGTTCTTATTCAGAACAGATGATCTCATTGAAAATAATGAATTAATATGAAAAGTGGCTTTAATAGTATCCTCATTGTAAATGTCAGAAACTGATCTTTTCATAAGGAGGTTGACACCACAATTAAAGAATGCAATTTATGTTTAAATGTTAAAATGTATTACAAGTTATGAATATGAAGAGATATATCAATATATGTATTGTGTTAAGAAGTAAGTAGTCTATTAGTGAAGTTGTGACTCATGTTTTCTACAGCTCGGAATTACGTATAAGGCGGCACGACTTAGCTTGCATGAAGTTAACTGCCGTTGTCCTGACTAAAGCCGAGGGGAGTGGCCCTACAAAGTAAGCAGTGTCGACAAGGATGGTGTACTATTGTGCGTGAGCCGCTAGTACGAATGACGGCTTGTAAGGCAGCCCTTTGCTAGTCACCAATAGCCCTTTTAAGGGCTACCTTCTTTTATTATTGTCTCAGATTACTGTACATTAATTTGGGCTCAAAATTTATATCTTTGGCTAGTGGACATTGTATGTAGGTAAATTACTTTCAAAATTAACTCTTTAAGCGTACATGACTGGGGTCCTTATCCGACATCGAAAGCTTTTTTGTGTGCCTTAAAGTAGTATAAAGGTTTATATCTCTTGACCAATCACGTATCATATTCGAATACTCAGTTCTATTACGTTTTATGATTGTTATTTATCATATGTATTGATATCAATAATAGAATTGAACGCCGCCTTTCCTTGTTGATCTTGTTTATCATATTTTACAGAAAACCCTTGTTCAAACGCAATGATTTTTATTACCTCATGGTTTAGTGTTTTATGGCATAGATAAGGGCTGCAGTACCATGGACTAACCTCTCAAATATATTTAAATTATTGCTATGCTTTTGTTTATTTATCCAGTATTAGGTAATATATCATTCCTTTTATCACTTTACGATATCAGATGATTTGTTTAATATGGTAAAATGAACAACCGGATCCAAATAATTGTCTTTAATGTGTTCATTTACGTAGTTATACTGAATCAGTTTTTAAATTGCAAGTGTTCTCAAAGATACAGTAATGAGTGGCTTATGAAAGCTGAAATGTCTATTAGGGACGCGGAAGAAATAGCGATCAAAAATGGATTTGTACTTCAAAACCAGGTATGCTTTTTTTGCACAAATAATTGTATGTGTTAAATTTCTTTCTATCAAACAAGGCATGGTTGTCATAGGTTTCGGTTTTATTATTACCAAAATATTTATTTTTTATCGCCAAAGCCAATGTTGAATTATGTTGAAGACGATGCAAGGGGTCGTAGACGGTATCTTGCAATTACCACAACTGTCTTTGAACAGGCTCCATCAAACGAGCCTTGAATATTTTCAATTTTATCAGTTTGGGCGATTCGGTTTTTCTCTATTTTAATGTCACACCAATATTGTCGGTGTCATGTGGATGCCGTAAATCGTCCCAACGTACATTTAATCCAAGATGTTATATTTCCGATCCTGGAAAATCGTTCAGCACTCCATTTATGTTGTGTTTTATGGTGCTTGTTTGATATATTTTTAATTGGGCGATTCCAGTATTCCTACTTAAATACTGTAAAATTTCTACTAGAATGTGTTGCCTACTTTTTAATTTGTCTTTTGAGGTTTGTTCGTGATATGCAGGCTTCATTACCTCTGATCCCCATTTAAAAATTCCATTTTATATAGTGATGCCAATTATTTTCTCGTTAAGAGGAAACGCAATATCCGGGGACTTTACGCCGATTTTCATTGAATAACATGAATGTGTGTCATTAATTAGCTTAAATGATTAACGCCGTATAAAGACATCTGCGGATGTTTAATTATTTTCATGACAAAATGTTGAATAAGGCTTGAGCGTCGTGGACGGTAGCTTGCAATCACCACTACCGTCTTCCAACAGGCGCAATCAAACCCGAGTCTGCAACATTTTCAATTTTGACGTTTTCGGCTTTATTTGCTGATTCAGATTTTCTCTATGTTACAGGTACGTACTACTGATATTATAACCACCGAAAATTCGATCTAGACCTTTTAAGCATTGTATATATAGTGTTACATAATAAGTTATAGTTTAAATGATAAATGTAATTTCTTTTTTATAATTCTTGTATTTTACATTACACAGATCACAGATGACTTATTTTTACTCACAAGGGACGACGTGCCTAGATCTTCCTCAAGAAAGATAAGGTACAAGCTTAAAAGTGTGGGCATGCAGAGAAAGGTATAATATTCAGTATTCGTGTTTTATGGCCTTTTCCTAACAAAATGTTTCATTCATACTATGATTAGTTTTTGCTTAAAAAATGCATGTCTTAAGATTAGCAAAAGAATTTCAAGAAAATCAAACTTGAGAAAAATGTACTAGGATTTTAAGAAAAGTAAAAGAATTCAATGTTTAATTAAAAATTTAAATGTTATGCGTGATTAATTACTGTGTCTGCAGTATTTTTCACCCTATTTCTGCTGCATGACTAACGCAGTGAGGGCTTTTTTGGCATTATTAGACATTTCGATGGTAGTTAACCTGGATTTTGAGTGCTATGTACAATGTGTAAATTACTTCCTTTGTTCACTTCACAAAATTTTAGTTTAAATAAATTTTCAAAATTTTCGTATAAATACGTATACATAATAATCTCTAGGTATGCTGCTTTAACATCAAAATGTCGTTTGTGTAAAAGATATTATTAAAAATCGGTATCTTAAAATATTTTCAACATGTTTTAAACAGAGTTTTTATTACCATTTATTTTCGTTTGTAAACTTTGTTTACAAAAATTAAAAAAATATATAAATAATTTGATCGTGTAATAGTATAGTAAAATATATCTGTTTAATTCCGCTTCTACTTTGTTAGTCATTTACATATTTTTTTCTCAGAATCCATAAATAACTTTTTCTAATGTAAATGTTGACAAATGGAAAAACTGTACGTTATTCTCACTATAATGTTATATAATTGAAGATTGTTTTTATTGAACAACAAACCTGGGGAAATGTGAGTCTTAGACAGTTTACAGTAACAGACCCATTATGGAGCCAAATGTGGTACATTGTAAGCTTTAATTTGCATAGGTTGCGACAAATGCAAAGTATTTTCAATTTTCATATTATATGTTTAAAGCATTTAAAGTATAACTCGTGATAATATAATATATACTATATAGCACTGCTACGGACATTTAATAATAAATATCTAAGATATTTAGGTACGAATATACAGATGTAATATCATATGCATGTGCGCGCGACTGCATGCCCGTGAGTGTGCGTGCGTTTGCGGCATATTTTTCACATCTATTTTAAAACTGGTCAGTTTTAAATTGATTTGTTTGAAAACGAATTGAGTTCATAAAAGAGTCAGATGTTGTCAGTATATTAAATACATTGATTAAATGAACACGGCAAGATTCAGGAACCATAATATTATCGTTTATAAAGGACAGAAGTTCTAGCGTGTCCATGACAATACTTGAGGCATGGCAATCAAATTTTACCGGTAAAGGGGTCAATATAGCGATAGTAGACAATGGCGTAGAACATACACACGATGACCTAAAAGAAAGATATGTAAGTTTCTTTGTATTTATCCGTATTACTTTAAACTCGGTTCAACCAGGATAGTTAATTTCAGCTAATGTTACAGACAGACAGACAGATACTTTATTTAAGTCTCACTTTTGTACATATATAACATATTAAATACAATAAAATAGATAAAATGCAAGTAATGTACAAAACCACTCTAAAAGAGTTATGAGAGACTAATTTAAGAGATAATATTGCATATCACATTACCATATAAAATAAACATATTCTCATTCTTGGAAATTAAAACAAACCTTAAACGACTCGTATAAACATTAAATTAAGACATTATTAATAAAATACTTATTTAACATGTCAAACCGTGAAAATAGATATATACACATTAAAACTTATAAACTCATTTTTAAAAAATTAAGCAAATATCACATGCAATTGTACAACTTTTTACGTCTTTCTTGTAAAATATTAGAGCAGGCTCTGGCCGTATATTTAACAATATCGGCATTTGACAATAGATAGACAAACTGTTCTGACTCACTATACAATGGAAAATCTTGATTCTGTTCAGTGACTTTTCTATATAACTCTTGTCTAATTGTGTCATATAAAGAACAATGGATTAATACATGAATCTCATCTTCAATACATGTGTTGCAGTGAAAACATAGTCTTTGATCAATTGGTAAGCTATTATAGCGACCAGTCTCTATTTTGAGAGGGGCTACCCCAGTTCTAAATTTCGCCAAAGCACTTCTGTGACTTCTTGATAAAATTTCACTTTTAATATATGTTTCTGTTTTATATTCACTCTTAAATGTTCTGTAGTGTCTTAATTTATTACCTCTATTTTTGCCACTAACTCCCGTATCTGAGTTTATACATCTTTGCCAGTTAGCTTTAAATTCATTAAACAAAAACGATTGTATTTTGTTATTAATTTGTTTTCTTGTTGCAACTGGATAGATATCATTGGTTTTTAATGTATTTAGCCATGCGCGCGTTACAAGTTTTTCAAGACTAAAACACCAGTTTTTCATACGGGCTCTTGAACTAAATGACCACTGGAAAATATGGTTGTTAAGTCTACTTTTGTCCATAGCATTTAGCCGGAACCAGTGGCCAATAACTGACTTCCATTGACGTATCTGTGGTGGTATCCATCCCATATCTCCCGTCACCGCTGCATTAGACGTGTACTTGCCCACTCCTAGGTAAAATCTGCATGCCCGGTGATGTACAGCGTTAATTGAAGAGAACTCTCTGGTGCCCCATACCGCGGCACCATAACTAATTACGGGCCACACCATACTGTCATAAAGTTTGGTGAACACATTATATGGCATTCCTCCCATCACTTTGAATTTGCTTATTAGTAATCCAAGCGATCGAGTGGCAGCGTCGGCTACATACTTAGCTATTTGTGAGTAGTCCATTGTTTCATTTAACATCAAGCCGAGGTATTTGTATCGGTCCACGTAGTCTATTAAGATATTATTTATTTTGAACGAAAAGTTACTTCTTATTACTGTATTTCTACGGAAATGCACCGCCTTTGTTTTATCAATATTCACCGTCATGTTGTTTCGATTACACCACGCCCCCAGGCAGTCTATCATTACTTGAAGTTGCTCTTCGTTTTCGGCTATGAGTGCTAAGTCGTCAGCATAGAGGAGGTGGCAAATAGTTCGTCCATCTATATTTATACCAATGTTCAATTCTTCTAGTTGTTTACTAAGGTCATCAATGTAAATGTTAAATGCTGTCGTGGAAAGCAGACACCCTTGCTTCAAGCCAATGTCTACTTGGAACCATTCAGTTGTGTAATTATTAATTTTCACCGCACATCGCACATCCTTGTATAAAGATTTGATTGCAAGTAACATGTTACCTTTAACACCGAGTTTCTGCATTTTATGCCAAAGGGTTTGTCTCTCTATCCTGTCATAGGCTTTGCTTAAATCGACAAAGCACACAAAAGTCGACTGTTTATGTTTTTTCCTGTTTTCAATGATATCCGTCAGTCTCGATAAGTGGTCAACGGTGCTTCTATTTCGTCGAAATCCGTTTTGTGAGTCCGAGACTATTTCATTATCCTCACACCACTTAAATAAACGTGCATTTAGTACGGAGCAGTAAGCTTTGTATACAGCAGAAGTTACAGTTATCCCTCTATAATTTCCAGGATCAGTTTTATCAGCACTTGGATTTTTAACACTGGTGTAATTATTCCGTCACTCCAAACTTTAGGTATCTTTCCTGTGGCGAAACAAACACAAAATAGTTTATGTAAATAGTCGATGCATGTGAGGGATTGAATAACTTCCGCCGGGACCTCATCATTGCCCATTGCCTTATTCAAATTAAGAGATTTGACCGCTCTCTCTACTTCATTTATTGATATGCCTTCATTGAGTATATCACTATTAAACGTGCCTGTATTTGACGCATCTATATTATCCGTATGCTCCATTATATCATAATTGTTTGTAAATAGTGACTTAAAAGCATCTTTCCAATTGTCAAGAACTTTCTTTTGTGATGTCGTAATGCTTCCGTCTGCTAGCGTTGTTTCCATTGGGATTTCATTTGTTCTCTCCTTTCCAACTCCTATTTTCCCGATGGTTTTCCAGAATTCACCAGGCTGTTTATTATCACATGATTCAAGTAATTGCACTTGTGTTTTTCGCCAATGTTCACGCTTTCGTTTCTGAACAGTCTTGTCAAAAAGGTTTCTAGCTTGCTTAAATTCAAATTTGAATTGTTGTTTCATATGTCTGGCGCTACTATCGCATTTATTCCATGCCTTTTCCTTTTTACACATATCTTGCCATAATTCCGAAAGATTAGTATTCCACCAAGGTTTTTGTAATCTTCTTTTTCTATTATTTCCCTTTGAACTGTCGTCAATTGTTTTGGGGCTTAAATATTTGTTCATTTGGGTTTTCAATATTTCCACAAAATCTCCGTAGGATTCATCAATGCACGATTGCTCATTTTGGTTGCTTTCGAGAATTCGTATCTTTTGTTTTAATTGACAATGAATTTCTTCTTCATTCATAAAAATATCTGGAATATCATTTCGTTTATATCGTATATAGGTCTTTTGTTCAGCCTTTAATTCACTGCTTGTGTTATTGTCTCTATTTCTTTCATTCAACATAATATTCCATATTAGTACTGAGTGGTCTGGAATTTTTATATTCTCTAATGTTTCTACACCAAGTGCCTCGTTCACAAGTTCAGGAGCTCGCTTAACTTCGAATTCTATAAACTTCTCTAACTGTTCGTAAGGCACAAGACAATAATCAACCACCGAGCTGCCCTTGGATGAAATGCTTGTGAAGTCATTGTTTTTTGTATTCCGCCCATTCAATATACAAAGGTTTGCACTTAGAAGAAAGTCAATGAATGTGTCACTATTTTGGCTTGTAGTAAAGTCTATTACATCTCTGGGTGGTACCAGATCTACGCCGGGAATGTAGTCATTCTTTTCACCAACACGAATATTGAAGTCACCAACAATGGTTATTAATCCTGCACTTTGATATTCATATACATGGGATAACAATGTGTCAAAATAGTCATTAATGTTCAGGGCTCTTGTGGAATTGGAATACAATACAAGATGACATTTAAAGTTACTATTTCATAAATTGTAATAGGTTTTATAGATAGTTTAAAACATATAGTATTGAAAGGAGGGCTGTCACTCTAAGTATAAAACAGTTGTTATTATTATGCAAAATATCGGATACAACGGATAATGCTGAGCCAATATAGATATATTTTTTAAGTAGCTGGGTACCAATTCAAACGCCTATTTCCTCAGTGTCTAAGTAAGGAATGTACCGAGCAATAAGCATTTTGCCTTATGGAATTAATTCATTAAAATAATACAAGTCAGTTTTATCATATTTGACAGAATACCAAATACAGCCAAGATGTTTATGATCATGATAATGATCCAAGTCCCGCACCTGGAGATTCGTAAGTTTCGATGCAGTTTGCTTGCTCATTTTTGAGGTGTTTTTTGTATTAGCCTGTACCTTACTAACGCTAAGGCATGACACAGCATGATTAAATAAATATAAATAGGCATTTTTCTATCTATAAGTTTATATCAAATAGATGCAGACACATTGACTTAAAAATATATATGTGAGGAAAAAGGATTTCTTTTGTCCGTAATTGTGTGGCAAGTTTTTATATACAAAACATTAAGCAAATGACATAATAGTATTGTTAGAAAAGTAAACGAAAATAATTTTTCACGCAAGTACATAAATTTGTGTTTTTCAGACACGGGACCAGGTGTGCTGGGGTATCGATGGGCACAAAGAATACTTTATGCAATATAGGCATAGCCCATCAAGCACAGCTTGTTGGTAAGGTTTTTTTGTTTTATCTTTTTCTTTTTTTTTCTTTTTAATTAAAACGCACTGATAGTGTTATTATGAAGACCCGACGTTACCCCGATAATATAAGCACAAACTGGTACAGAAAGAACCAGGACCTATCAAGAAAGTGACATAATTTAACGTTGAACTTTCCTTGTTGAATTCTAACCTATATGATAGCGGAGAATAGAAATACAGTTACTCGATTATTCGGGCATGGCGGATCAATCTTGGAAATCCAACACAATTCACAAAGCTTGCTTTAAACGATGGCGGATTGCATCGGGATCAATGTCTAAAACGCTGACATAATTCCATATGTGATTCCAAAAAACTCTTAAACCGAATTTAAAAAAAAGGTCTCGTTCCGAAGAAAACACATTTAAAATTGAACACAATTCATTCTAAAATGTACAAAAGCAACAATGATTTTGTTCATAGTCAATTTAAATTGGTCGATAATGGAATATCTAAAATACAGTAAACAATTGTGTTGAGTATCAAACATCACACTGAATTATAAAAGTTGTAAGTGGGAGATGCTTGGTCAGATATTATATATCTTTATATAGCAAATGATACAGTGTCTTAAAATAAGATATTTTTATCATTCATAATTGTACTCACTTGAACACTTAGAACTCTAACTGCATGTTTGCAAGAAATATTTTATTGTTTTTTTTTTCAATATGTAAAGTACTTATTGCAAATGTGCCCATTGTAGACATATTCGCTTGAAATTTCTTTATGTTGGAACATCTTCAGATTTTACTAATTAGGACCACACTAAAATATCGCACAAAATAATCAACTCGAACCATACTTGAAATTATTCATTGATTGCGTTGGACAGAGCTGAGATATATTCTTATTTTCATATTGTAGCTATTCGTATGATTGGGAGTTTTGGGGTGACAGATGCATGTAAAGCCAGTGCGTTAAGTAACAACGGTGCACATGTGTCTTCAAATAGTTGGGGTGGAAACGAAAATACATTTGATGGTCCATCTGCCAACGTTGAATCTGCTTTAAAGCATGGAACAACAAAGGTTTAGCTGCAAATAATGATTAAAGTAGAATGTTTGTGGTCTTAATGAGCAATGTTATAAAATCAATATTAAAGTTACCGACAATCGGAAATTGGTGTTTGATTCCTACCAACAGCAGGCGTCTTTACACGGCCAAAAACTGAATATTCAATCCAGCAAAGTATTTATTTATTTATTTGCTATTGAGCTATTTACATTTATGAAATAGCAGCATTATATTCATAGGATATGATTTTTATGACGATTGTGATGTCCTCATCTCAATCACTTCAAAGTTCTTAAAAGTAAAAAAAACAGTCACATAATTGTGCAATTCTCATCATTTTTATTACATCAATCCTTTATTTTTCCTTCAGCTTCGAAACGGTCAGGGTGTAATATACGTCTTTTCGGCGGGAAATGGCGGCTATGATGATAACTGTAACATGGATGGCTACATCAGTAGTATCTACACGATTGGCATCAATGCTGTATCTAGAGATCTCAAGCCCCCTGGTTATGCAGAGCCATGCTCAGCTGTGTTAGCCAGTACTTTCAGTGGTCCCGGTAGTAGTACAGTGGATAATTTGGTATGTTGGAAATAAAATTTTAGAATCGTGTCTGGCACAAATTGTTTTATTTATCTGATTCTTATAGATAACTTTCGTAAATGGGTCTTTTTGGTTTTAAAATGCTAATGTATAGTTTTGATTTTTGACCATATATGCCGTTCAGTTACGAGTGTCCGTTGTTAAGGAAATTCAGATTTTGAGTTATAATATGACTGAATCGTTTTATATGAATATAGCACTTATTTTCATTTCATGAACGTGTTAGTGCTCGTCTGATATAAGCGGTCAATGTACAACGTCGTTCACCGGTACTTCTGCAGCTGCAGCCGCAGCGTCCGGAATAATAGCACTGGTACTCGAAGCTAAGTACGTCATCAAAATTGAACACGTTTTATCTTTTCAATTAAATGAAACGAAGACACGTGCATATTAAGATCGAGACACATTTCAGTAGAAATTGATGATGATGATTTTAATTTCTAATAGTATGATGATATCATCATCATCAAGAATGGAGATGGTTTGCTGATGATGATTATGATCCTTACAAGAGGAAAAATATATTTATAAATATTTCAGTAAAAACGTATAATAATTATTAGTATAACGTCACAATATTACTGACTTACCTAAACCAAAATAATGTGAATATCACCTTTTTATTTATTTATTTTTACATATTTCATGTGGTTTTACTTTTTGTGTTTATGTTTTTTTTAAATTTAAAGTCCAAATTTGTCATGGAGAGACATGCAAGAGCTGATTGTTATCACGTCCAAAAGTGATGGATTGCTAAATGGACAATTCAAAACCAATGGTGTAGGGAGAGAAGGTAAGTTAGCTATTTGAAATGTTCATTATAATAGTAGAGTATGGAGGTCATAAATGAAATTAAAGGGTAGTTATCACCTAATCCAACCAAAATATTTCTAAAAGTAAGATTGTACACACAAATGTTAATAAAAAATAATCTATTGTTTTTTTTTACTGGATCTTTAGTCAGCGATTGGTTTGGTTATGGACTTTTGGATACACAGGCATTAATAGTAGCAGCCCAGAACTGGACATGTCTTCAAACTCAACACAAGTGCAGTACTGGAACCGTTAAAGTAAATAAGTAAGTCTTACAGAATTTTTTTATTAATTCATTAAATAACATAATTTACAGTGTATTTCAACAACCGTTATTTACTTATACTTCAATTAATATAAATTCACATAGTTTCCATGTGCAACTATGCCTGGCTTCTACTTATAAATTCTATGTGTCAATTAGAATTAATTACGTTTTTTAAGAAATAGAAAGTTATGTGTACTTCAGCACGTAGTCATGTAAACTTTCCCCATCGGCTTCTTCTGTATTTGTTTTGTTTGAAAGATAATTAAACCGTTATATGAAATTGACTTTTCAAACTTTGGCTGTTCTTATATTGTACATACATGAGTATAATTACCTAAACCCCTCTTCCCTGTATACAAAAGATATTTAAATTTTAAAAAGGATTATTTCTTTGTTCGTGAATATGATAATATCTAATTTCTATGATTGTCTAATTCTATCTCAATATCGTTTGATCGTAATATGTTTTTACAAGTATGTATTGTGACTGATACATCACATGTTGCCTGGGTATATCTGTACATTTGAAATATTGACATTTCGTTGTCATTAACGTAATAAATATTACGCGTATAGAGCTATATATTTGACATATTGTACATTAGACAAATACAAGCACAAATCAATCCTCGGAGCGTTGAAAGTTCAGTGAATATCGATGGTTGCAATGCGACAGAGAATTGTGTAAGTCGAGTAGAGCACGTAGTCGTTTCAGTGACGTTTGAATATTCATTGAGGGGTGCAGTTTTGATGTACATTGACTCACCAATGGGAACCAGAAGTGAGCTTCTAACACGAAGAAAGGAAGATGACGATAAAAATTCAAGACACTTTTGGAGAATGATGTCTGTACAACATTGGGGAGAGGATCCAGTTGGAACATGGACGCTAACAATGTCATTGCAACATGATCCGAACGAATACGGTACGTACATTATGATATTGTTACCTACATATAGCTTTAGTAAATAAAGTTTTCTTGGATGTATTAACCTATATTACATAGGTCAAATATTTCGAAGTAATGGACAGACCGGTGTGTGCAATTGCTGCACAAGCGGTAAGTACATATGCTATACCATCTTTAAAGCTATCATAGTTTCTTTTATGGTATTCCTGTGCGTTGTACAACATAGACACGTTAGGTAAAACTGCAGAGATATGACATGAGAAAATTGTACTCTTTTTTCATTGTATAGTTTACTAGTTATAGCTGTACACTGTTTTAACACGTGTTGAACAGACTTTATTACACTAGAAAGATTATTTAGTAGAAGTTCGACGACGTGAAGCGATCTATTGATTATGTGCAGCTATCTATATTTCTTGTAGTCCAAACTGGTACGTATACATCGATACATTACAGATGTATGAAAACAACGTTGATGCGACTTGAATAAAAGGCGTATATTAAACTAGATATTTCCTAGATCGTGATGAAATATACACCATCGGACAGAATAAGTTCATAAAATTGATAAATAATCATATAAGAATTTAAAATGACGAATGACTTATTCGAGTTTTGTAAATGTTAAATTCGCACTTTAAAACTCAACGACGAACCGGTGAAGAGCAGTAAGTAAATATATTAAAAGACACCGTATTTACTGTGATTTTCTTTGCTAAAAGCTCTTTTTAAAGCATCTCTTTAAAACTAGTTTCATATACGTATAGCAAGCACTATTCTACCGAAAGCAGAAATGCCAGCGAATTAAAATCGTCAGTTATTTTAACGCAGCTTTTCTCAATACAAATTGATACCAACATCTTTATCATTAATGACTTTATTTTAGTTATAATATGAAAATAATTTTAGAAATTTTTAAACAAATTAATTCTCGAACTTTTTTTTTTTTTTTTTTTTTTTTGCGGTATGAAAATATTTATACTAAGTGGTTGTTGATTTAGCTAACATTAAAACATTGCGTAAGATTTAAAATGGCTGCTATATCGTCCATTTGTACATGTCCATGTATATCATTTTATGCAACACATCAAAATTCATGATACTTGAAAATGGAAAACAAAAAAGTCACGAAATCGATAAATGAAATATTTATTCTATACCATATATACTGGCATGCGAGCAGTTCCCGTACAAAAATCGTAGTTACTTAAACATTATTTTTTATTACGCTATCACATTGCCTTCTTATCTATAAACAGGTGGTATTAGTGGAAAACCCTTTAACATGCCTCACGTGTAAGTATGTTTGCGCATGCGCGCAAGGACGGAATCCCCCAGATAAAACAAGGTCACGTTTTGACAACGCACAGGTGAAAGTGATTTAAAATGATACTTTTTATGCGTACTGCCGAACTGACACTTAGATTTTGTCTTGTTTATGTATCTGCTTGATTTGAAATAAATTTTTGAAGAATGCATGTAAAAATCAAGCGTTTAAATGAAAAATACGGGTACTGCTTCTATACAGGAACTGCTCGCATGCCAGTAGGGTAATCGCTTTATAGATGAATAATTTATACGTCTGCCAGCTTGAAGGTATTCACTTTTAAGTAACAGTAAATGCATGTACAACTTGAATAAGTGACACATCTATCACCATGTTGTTACTTTTGGAACTTTATGAGTAATAAAATAAATAACACTTTTCCATGTTTCAAACGTATACATGTACTTACACTGCTTAACAGTCAGATGGGATCTTTCCCGATCTTGACAGCAGGACATTCCTCTTTTAAATTTTCTTTTACATCTAGATGCATGGGCTACGCGCATAATACTAGAATGATTAAAAGTTTAAGTTTATATAATTGTTTTAAATTGGGGGTAGGTAGAATAATATTGCTTGAATGATTTCCGTAATGGCCGACGCCCATATCCCAAGGCACGCATATGAAAATGTTTTTATTCATCCCGACCGAGTGCTAGCGTTTACTGTTTCAACTGTTGGTGACATAAGCGTTCAAACTTTTCTTTCAACGCTTATGCTTAAATGTAAAGTCTATTCAATCTACCGTGAAATTTCAAATTTTATATAATTTATATTAGCTGTCATGACACTGAGAAGCAAAAAACATTCTTTTTAGGAACATTAGTTGAGTGGGACCTTATAATATATGGAACAGGGAGCGACTGCAGTCTTGGGGAAGAGGTCATCACCGATTGTCCGTACACAAATACTACCTCTGGTGAAGTATTATCAATATTATTGAAAAAGCATTTATGTTTCAAAAAAGTAAACAATAATGAAATTGAAGTGTGATTAACATGTACTCTAAACATACGAATCAAGCTTATTTAAATTGGTATATCCTTTTGTAGATGAGCATAACACATAAATTACACATAAATTTCTAAAAAGTGCTTAATCTAATGTTGTTAGAACTTGTTGCCAAACCTATTTGCTTCTTGTTATATACTCATCATTTGTATAATAATTGACATGTATTTGATGCATTGAAATACGTTTAAAATAAAGCATTAATTAGTCTGTACATTTTTTCTTTCAGAAATTAAAGACAAAAAAGACACTAAAGATAGTTTTTGGCAGCCTTGGCGCATTGCAATTATAACAATTATACCGACAATTTTTGTTGTTGTCGTCATTATAATCGTCATTATAATTTGTTTTGTGAGAAACCCTCGACCAGTCCATCCATGAATTTAAGGAGTTACCTTTTTTACTGAAGCAGTATTAGTGTAGATGGTCTTAATTTGAATAAGTATTCGTGACAATTACTCTTTGGGAATCTCGTTGATTGCGAAAAATATGATCTTACATGTGTTTCAAAATAAAATCATCAGGTAGTTTTACATTGTTGAGAACAATACTGGAATCTTTCGAACGAGTATACAGTTGTGCAACATAAAGATTATTTTTTAGTAAATTTCCATTATAAAGTTAAGTTTAAAAACCTATAAAATGTATAAGACTTGTATGTTGAATGTTTTTATTAATTGATCTATTATGTTATTATTTACGTTGTATTGAAAATAAACAAACTATCAGAATTAATTACAGTTAAGAAACATATTTTTATAGATTTACTTTGCTACCTGATAATAAACCAATGCTTTTGTTATGTATGCATATAATTATGTTAATTAGCAAAGCTTCTCAATTTTGGACACGATATATACATATTTATATTAAACCTATATTATACATTGTTTCATGTTTGTTTGTCATCATGGATCGGTCAGTTTAAAGGAAAATTGAAAAATAAACTTATGAAACTTTTCATCATGCCGGAAACTGTTACAGATCTTTTTATACCAGCAATATCTAAGAAGAAAAAAAGTTGTTTGTCTGTTACTGAAGACGTAACACATCTCTAAGCAAAACACTTCAAAACTATCATACATTGCATAAACAGTTGAATTCATTTTAACTCACCGTCATTTCCATATAAGTAATACGGTTTTATAGCAGCACGAAAATAAATGTCCATTTTGCAAGTATGAACTGTAATTGTAAGCAAAAATATTCTTTAACGACAGTGCAAAATGCTAAAGTCTGTAGTCACATGTCATGTCCTACAAAAACGTCAATTAAAAAGAAAGTAATAATCATTTTTTAACAAAATTATGAAAAGTTAAGTGCCTATTAAGTGATATTTTCAAATATCAAATTTGAGCATTTTATATTTTTAAAACGCAGTCACTAATAACCACTAGACACCTTTACCACTTTGTCCTCTGCACAATTTAAGGATTGGCTGGGAAGAATTTATCATGCATGTCATGACTACTTTTAGCTTTTATTTTACTGATGGAGAGTTTGTGAAACCTAGGATTTTAACTCATAAATTTGGAGATGTTTACAATATCATTCTTCAATGTAATCCTTCTTTACTTTAACGCATTTGGCCTCCTGAATATAAATTTGAAATTAAAGGCGTTTTTTTGCAACCATGAGCTCATCATTGTCCTAACATCTCGTTCAACACAAGAAACAGATAATACACATGTTGACCAAATCTGAACTGTAAGGCGGATGATTAAAAAGAAAGTAGTTATCATTTTTTAACAAAATTATGAAAAGATAGGTGCCTTGTACGAGCCTCAACTCATTCAAATAGAGACGTAATTTCACAAACACTTGCCGTTTTTTTCGACACGGTAAAACTGTTTTGCGCCATCCTCTAAGATCTTGACTTTACGTCATTTGCGTGATACCTACACATTCTAAAGGTGTGTTTATTGTTAGCGTTACACTATACTGTAGGCTCTTCAATGAAAAAATAATTGTTTGTCTCCCTTTCTTTATTTTTTCTCTTTGCCTATGGGTAAGTGATAAATAGAATAATATATTGGTGTAGATTCATTACTGAATTTATTGATCTCAAATGGATATGCAAAATTTTGTAGAGCTGTCACACGGCATTTGACACCTGCTGTTGTGATATATAAATATCTGGAGAAAGAGTTATCCATCGGAAGCATTAATCACAACATAATTGCATGAACATTGCATACTCGGTTTGATTGAGTCTGTACCTGAGAGATAGTGATAAAATGCAATTTTTATCACGCCCCAAGCACCGGATTGAGCGGTAGTGAATTTTCCACACATAAACGTGCCGGAATCAATAATACCTAAGTACAAATTAAAAAAAATCAAAGAGACTGTGTAGCAATAATCAATATTTTCAAATATCAAATTTAAGCATTTTATTTTTTTAAACGCAGTCACTAATAACCACTAGACAGCTTTACCACTTTGTCCTCTGCACAATTTAAGGATTGGCTGGGAAGAATTTATCATGCATGTCATGACTACTTTTAGCTTTTATTTTACTGATGGGGAGTTTGTGAAACCTAGAATTTTAACTCATAAATTTGGAGATGTTTACAATATCATTCTTCAATGTTATCCTTCTTTACTTTAACGCATTTTGCCTTCTTTTCTCTAAAGCAGAATATAAATTTGAAATTAAAGGCGTCTTTTTACATGCATGAGCTCATCATTGTCCTAACATCTCGTTCAACACAAGTGGGACAATTTTGAAACAGATTATAATCATTTTTGGCCAAGGTTGAACTGTATAGCGGATGATTAAACTGCTCATACTTGTACTTATGAATTGTGAAAGTCTAAACTTGCACAGGGGCATAATCATGCAAAGGATGGAAATAGGGACAGCAGCGGCTAATCCCCTCTATTTCGTCTCTTTGATTAGATTGACATTGTATTCTCCTGTAGTTAAAATACCAACGCTTATTTTTCCCTTTGGAGTCCAAAATAAACATAAACATAAACATTACCTTACCGGCATATAACACCAATGTGATTTGAACCCATGTATATATAAACGTTAGGTTTATTCCTAATGTCTTAGTTCATAGCAATTCCTCTTGTAGGAAAATAAAATACATTTACATACCAGTATTTATTTCCTGTTTTTTTTTTCCAAAATAATTTTGAATTGTTTGCCTGATATGAATTAAGTAACATTTAAGAGGTTTGATGGATAAAACGACGTTTATTTTCTAAAGTCAAAAATGTCACTCTCGAGTTTGTAAAGTTAATTTATTTTCTGTCTTTTTAAAATTTTCTACGGCAACTCATAAAGTATTTACTTTTTATAGTGATTGCCTAGGTAGATTGACAGCAGAAAGCATGAGTCATGTTTCTAAAAATAATGTTAATGGCTAAAATTGTATAAAGACTACTGTAAATTGTAAATTCCTATTTATTTTTGCAGAGATTTGTTTTAATTACATATATTAGCTTGTATTACGCATTACGTTCTTTTCTCAAGTAGCCTTTCTCTTGTCGATTTAAAATGCATGATTTTTTTCATTTATAGAGGACAATTTACAATCCATTTAATTATAAAGGAAACGGTGTCAATTTGTATCACTCCTAAGTAAATTTAATCAAATATATAATTTGAAACTTTTTCAAAAATATAACAGTATACATAAGCTTAATGGTTAATTTATTGTAAATGTTTCACGTGAAAAAGCAGACGGTTCTTGTGTAATAACAGTGTTACCTTTCACCGTCCTAAAGGTATTGGTCATATTATACAGGGTTGAAAGGCAGACATTAGTGCCTTTAGCACTCGGTCATCCCTTAAATGTTAGACAGATACTCAAGCAACTGATTAAAGTCATTTCAATCCGTTTTCTATGACATCTTTTCAATGCCCCCTTCAGAGTTTTAAAAAAGTATTTCTGGTCTTCAAAAGAATCGATGTTGAACTACATGTACTTTTCTTGAACCCTTAGATGGACACTCGCAAAGTATATACACGTATTGCATCTTTTGATAATCATCGGTATATTTTATACCTAATGTCATTCAGAGCATATAAATTAAGTTCTCCAGGATATTAAATCACATAGTCGTTATAAATCACATGAAGTTGCTCATTGATATAAAATAAAGATTTGATGTGGTAGATTACAGCTTTTTACAAGTTATATAAATACTTGTATACAATGATATAATACTCTAATATATTTGACATTATAAGTACTTTAAATCTCTATCAAGTAGTGTGTTATTTATTATTATTGGGCATATATCTTTGATATGTCTGTAAGTTCTCTCCTTAAATCTAATCAAAGTGGTTACATACACGTATTAACCCTACTTTACACTGTCAATAGAATAGTATGGTGGCTGTTTGTCCAACAAGCACAAAATACAGGTAGAAATACTAGACTGTCTTTAATTCCATTGTTGTGACATTCCGTCTCGGTTTAATTGCTTTATATTCTATCATGCAAAACAATCCAACAAAACTTGCTGGTAACTACTATAAGGATCTTACATCGGTTGTTGGTACAGACCGGAATTTTTAGCTCGAGGGTATCCCGAGAGCTAGACATTTCTATTGTGTTTGATTTCTTTTCTTACATATTACATATTAATCATTATTTGGACAAAAATGACGGAAACATATAGTTTCGTTTAGCACATTTTTTCTCAGTATCGTATGAATTCACAACTTTATTGATAAGGCAAAATGAGAACATTCTAAAATCGCAATCCGTTCAAAACGGCGCGTTGGAAATCGTTATTTACAGTATGCGCCTTGTCTTATGACCTTAACAGACGGTAGGATTTAGAGATAAGATATACAATTTTCAAAGAAATACAACACTTGCATTCAGACGGTTATTCTGCATTGTAGGAATCATCCCAGGTTTCCCTCAAAAAGTTCCCTCCCAGTTGATGCCTTACATACTTTACTCACTAAATAATTTTTTTCTCCATGAGTAATGATTGAAACTACTCCATTTTTTTAATTTTTTTATTAATGTGCAGCCTGACCGAGACTCAAACCTGGGACCCTCGGAATACCGTACTGAGGTTCTACTAACTGAGCCAGCCGGCCGCCTACAAACTACCTCCCCTGATTAGAGAATAGTTCAATACCGTGACATAATCATTTTTTTCCGAACAATTTGGGATTCGAACATACCACAATTTTTGGTTTCCGGAAGAGTTTTTCGTCATCATTTTTACCCCATCTTATTACTATGTTTATCTTTTAGCACTGTTGTTCTGGAATTTAATTCATTACACCCATTATCAGGAGATAATTAGGTTACCTGTTACTTGTCATTGTGGGAGGTCTGTAGAAGTCTGTACGACAAGATTTACAAAATAGAACATGTCATATCCGGCCCTTACATCTAGACTTTAGGTTTACGAATTTAAGAAATAGTAGCCGTCACACATTAAGATTTGCTTGTACATCTTAGTTTTAATTGGTGTTGTACTTCAAAATCCTACCGTCTGTTGAGGCCTTTACATGGGTGTGTAAGACAGGTTTATCTAGCACCGGCGTAAAATGTAAATAATCCTGTCTGATAATAATGCAAGAATATACAGTGAGTTGGCCAATAACGGGTCACTAGCGAAACTTTTAGTGTTTATGAACGAACGATTTTTAGATTCATATATAAATGTATGATGATAAGAAGTATTTTTATTCCCCTTTTACTGTATACTTCGTGTGAATTCATATTTTGAATGCATCGTGGTGTATTTACCGTTTCCAAACCCTTTGTAAACATGCCAATAGCGGGTCAAATCGGCCATTAGCGGGTCACGTGATAAACGAACGTGGGGTTTTCTCAAAACATTAATTATCTGTCAAATTCTTCCCTTAACCAGGAAAATATTACACAACTATGTGTTACCGCTGAGTATTAAAGTGAAAAGGGTACCAATAAGTAAAGAATCCAAGTGGCAGCTGCATGATTGTGGTAAAAACAATAATGATTGTAATAATGCTGATCTAGATATCTGCTCAATGAATTGTAAATTGTGTAGATAACATATTTATTTCATTTTCAGGGTTACAGGGGACAAAGCAGCTCATCGAAGCAATTTTGTGCACATTCTATGTAAAATTCCATTTAATTAACTGTAACACAAGTCTCTTGTTGTGAATCAAAAGGTTAAAATGCAGTCTCAAGAAATTTGCATGTTCTTCTATGTGGTCATTATGAGGATACACTTTCTAAGAATAACAAACAAACAAAATTGTCAACTGATTTTCTCTTATTGAGTACACTCTGTGATATAAACAAATAAAATTATAACAAAATACATGTAATGATGTAAAACAATATTGACTACATCATTTAACAATACTGACTTGGTTCAACGTCAAACCTAAAAAAAACACATGTGAATAATGTTAAACAATATTGACTAGATCATTAAACAATACTGACTTGGTTCAAAGTCAAACCTAAAGAAAAACCCATGTAATTATGTAAAACAAAATTGACTCGATCATTAAACATCAACGTCAAACCTAAAAAAAACAACATTTAATTATGTAAAACAATATTGATTTGGTTCAATGTCAAACCTAAAAAAATACATGTAATGATGTAAAACAATATTGACTAGATTATTAAACAATATTTGCTTGGTTAAAAAAATTATGAATTTTCAGTCACTTACAGGCACATTATGTGTATGAAAGATTATTAATTCTGTCGAAAGTGCAAAAATGAGTTTAAATATGTTGTAATATGGATTTATATCATATGAGATGCTTATTATCTGATAAAAATACCTTTGAATATAAAATCATTGTGATAAAGCAAGTAAATTAATACAAAATACTAATTAACTTTTACTGTACTAAACCTAAGCAAAAAGGAAACTAAAAATGGTTCAGAAATATGACCAATAAGTAACTTTTGGAAAGTGCAAAATGGACATTAAAAATAACTAAGCTTTGAAAAAATAAAATGATAGCCTTGAAAATTTACACATGTTTATTCCTTGTTCAGTGTCATAGCAGGGCCTCCTGGGATTTTATCTAACATTACAGAAAGTTTTTGAAAATTACTCTCAATATCTGGGTGAAATATAATATAGTTGCATGGCAACACAACCCCACCACCTTCAGAACTTGGAGCCGGCCATGGTTGGAAACTCTGAGTGGGCTCACCGGTAACTTCAGCTACGATATATCCTTTGTTCATAATGGTACGGAAAAAAACAGCTATCCCTCGTGGAACATGGCTAATTGGAAGTCCTGCTACATCTCGCAACCGTAGCTGGCGTTTTTGGTCAGTGACACTATCATGTAACAATGTTTGGAATGACTCAAGTGGCGGAAACCACACCAAGCAGGCATCAGTATCATGGATATTTGTATATTCAGGCTCTACAGTTAGACATTCTGAGGCCAAAGCCTCTCTGGGCCATCTCACTTAACCACTCAGCCATAGATGTTTCTACCTGTTCAATGAAAACAGTAGCAGGACCTTTCATAGTGTTGATGTCTGTTTCCCCACTGTATCTCCTTTGCAAAAACCGGTATGACAGTCCATGGTCACATGCAGCTTTTCTTAGTGACATACTCTTGTTACACACTGTATAGGGCTCGTCTCACTCTCTGCACTTTCCCAGGACTCATTCGCTTCCCTCTGTATTTTTTTACCACTGAGGAGGCTGCATTCTGGGCTGGACTACATTGAACACTTTTTATCTTTACCTTAGGCATTAGAATCTGAAACAATAAAACAAGTAAACAAATGAGCTTGTCATGTCATGATGTGAGTAATGACAAAGAACAATAACCAAAAGTCCGGGGGGTGATTACAAAAATATTCATGCTAGAGTGATAAATCTATCACATGTGATGTGTGTGATAATAAGTAACAAACATTTGAAGATAAAAGTAGATACCACAAGAAATGAAGAAGTAATAAAAATAATAATAATAAAAAATTTTTTTTATTAAATTTTAAACAAAATTCTAAGCTCAATTGGGAAATAATTCTGTAAAAAAATGTGTGCTAAAGTAATAAATTTTGTCACACATCCTGTGGGTGATGATAAAAAACATGTATTTGAAGTTTAAAATGGATAACTTAAAATAAAGAAGTTACTGTACAGTTAAAAATAATATTTAGGAATCTAGTCTAGAACAATACAGTAGCATTTCAATGTTGCAGCAGTTTATACTACATAAAACACCATATTTTAGCATGGACTGCATAATTCACTTGCAATAATAACATAAATAAATTAAATTTTATATTTATTTGTATACAAACCAAAATTTGCTTTAAAAAATATTTTCTAAAACCTGTTGAATAACTTTGAGGCGGTCCCTTCCTGGAAAATTACATGACCCGCTATTGGGCAACGTGATGCATTTTAATTCACCAGTGCTATCACTATAATTCCTCATGCATTTTTTAAACGGCTGCTGCTGCAGATAGTTAACATATTGGGCATCAAATACCTACCAGCTTTGATCTAATATCTTTTGGGGTTTTTCAGCAATAAAGCAGCGACTGCGAATTTGTGTTGTTACTGGCGCAATATTTCGCGACAAACGGAAACGCTTGGTAAAGCATCTGAAAGAATCTGATTAGAATTATCCGGATGTTTACATTTTTTTTTTCGCTGTCGAGGAGCTAACATCCAAATGCACACGACTGATAGGTTATAACACTTTTAAGTTCAAAACATTAAGTAAAATAATTTATTAAATTACTGACTGACCCGTTATTGGCTATGATCCGCTATTGGCTAACTCACTGTACTTTATTGATCTAGCTGCTGTAAAAACTTCTTTAGTTAAACATGTGATACATTCATTTATATGTCCAATCTCATCAAAATCATATCCTAACTTACGCTCAATACCTTTCGCGATAAGTAGACATCGGCCAGTGATCACAAACGATACTTAATCTCAATCTCGACTTAAACTCGCGAAAGGTCACCTCAAGTAATGTTGGAGTAGACTTACGGTGTGGAAAGTGGTATTCATTTTGTATACTCAACCTTACCTCTCGTGAGGGAGACTTCAAAAGTTGACCAATCGGTTTTATTGCATAACATCACTCAATATACATTGCAAAAGTGTAACCATGTTGTAAAAGAAAACAAAACAAACATGTTTCCTTATTTGAAATATCGTTAAATATATAGATTGGGAATTCTATGTCAATCCCAAAATTCAAACAATGCGATATAACTTGTATCTAACTGTTATTCTTAATATTTCATAAACAAAACAATAATTATAACTAAATGGCACTTGTTTAAAACATAAATATTTACAAAGGCCTATATCTAGACGCATACGACAAATCATCCGGGGACTCGAGTCCAGAGTCATCGACGGTCACATTGACAAACGCAGGATCAGTCATTTTCATGGATAAAAGGAAATTCAAGAAATATTTAACTTAAAATCGTATAAATTCGTAACAATCATTCATTTTTTTTTTTGCATAAGTACTGATATCCCGCGAATGAATGCACTCTTAATAGTTCGTACTACTTGTATAATTCCGGGTACACTCCTTTGAAAATCAAAATTTCTGATAAAATTCAATTTCTGGCATAACTTTATTGGGATCATCTATGTTCATAAGTATCTGTTTTTCATCATTTATTTCCTCAAATACAGTCTGTTCGCCAATATGTTGCACTAAAATGTATATGGGACGAAATTATTCAATATCAAAAAATACTAAAAACTAAGTGGTATTCAATATTATTTAATTGAGGACACCTCAAGGTAGCCCCCTCCTAATCTCACAGATTCTCAACTTTCCTGAGTTCACTCGACACTTACTTTATAACCTGAATACCACTTTACTGAAAGTTGAGGACTGTCTTGACCGTTAGGCAATTACATAGGATTTACTCAATGTGAGTGTAAATATCGATTCTGATAATGGACCATCGTAGCGGAGAGTAACGCATAAATATACAAAAATCACAATTTTTCACCTCTTAGGATCAAAGTTCTGATAATGATCAAATTTGAATCAAATGGAAACCGTCGTGTAGCAAACTGCAATACCAAATTTGTCAATGTTTTGCTTAAATAAGTACACAAAATTTTCTTGTAAACAAGTGCACACTTTCTTTTACAACTGAGTATAGATTTATCTTTATATACAAAGTAAAAAAATAGAAAGCAAGTATTTGAAGAAAAAGGTTTAAAGAATTAAACAAAACAAGAAGAAAGGAAATAAGAAAGAATGACTTCATATTAAATCTAAGTGCAATGATATTTATAATCATATGATATATCTGCCAATACTTCAATTCATTTGATTTCTCTTTCTAACTATTTGAACAGCAATATAATCAAATGTAGTAAATTTACTGAAACCTTTTATCCTGAGCACATGATGGTACGTTTAGTTAGATTTTTTATAATAATTTACGACCAAGCAGACTTGAAATCTTGATAAAGAACATTAAAAAATATAAACTTATATTGTGTACGCATTGAAAACAATCGGTATTAAAGTTGTGAATTAGCTCGAAGATGAAAGGTGTTGTGTTAGAGCTTTGCGTTTTAATTGTTGCATCTCTTTTCACAGGTAAATAATTCATATTTATTTTATTACTGTATATGCTTGCCTGTGTCAGTATGAAAGTATGTAAGAATTTACCTTTATTAGCTTGTTTTCTGGGTCAAGCATTTTTCTTAAGAACTTTAAAAAGTTCTAGTGAGTAAGTATTTTGTTACCTAACCTAAAACACTAATTATCCACTGAAATAGCTTACATGTACGTGTCAAAATCGGCTGAAACGCCCCATGCCGTTGGTGACTTTGCAAAAGTAATAAATTCAGTAAAACTTACGAAAGCGTGCTAGAGCTTTACTGGCATTGTGAATACTTAGATATACTTTAGATATATTTCTTTAGAAATATGACTAAAGCTAGTATCCATATGGTTCCAGCAATTATAACTGAGATTCAAAAATTTTCCAAAACACATGATTTTTAACGACGTGTTATTTATTATATCTTCCCTTCTTTATATAAACGTCTTATTATCATCGTTGAACATTTAACACGAAAATATTCATTCAAAATATGTTAAGATGTAATACTTTAAGAAAAGAGTGTCCGAACCTAGTGCCTTTAAAACAGTTTAAATAAATATTCAATGAAGTTTTGTTTTGCTATTTAACTAGAGCTAGTATTGTCATTGAAAATAGCCCGTCTATGTGTCAATATTTGTAACATGTTTTTTCAACGTTTCTTATTGTTTAATGTTTTAAGGTGGTACGACTAAAACGTGTGCTTGTACAAGTAGCTCATGTTATAGAACTTCTTGGACAGCATGGTCATCATGGGGTTCGTGCGGTCAGACATGCGGTGGCGGTATTCGACGACGGACAGCAAATTGTATCCTACATTATAGAATCTTTGGTCTTGTCTTTAGTTTGCCTTTACAAGATTCCTTTAAATATGATTCAAACCCATGTGGCCAGGTTTGTTTAAATGATGGCAAATTTATTGACGAAAAATGTAGCTGTCCTCAACCATTTACAGGTGTATGTTGCCAAGGTAAGTTTGAAACGCGCCCAATTTTTAACTTAAGAAATTATATTGTACAACGTGGCCGTATACAGATCACCGATGATATGTAGGCCAATGTTGGTACACTTATATATACTATTTGAAGCCGTGCATATATAAGTTCATAGATATATGGATATTTAAATAACAAAATGAGAATATCAACTACATCAGCTATGTTTAATCGTATTTTGATATACATTTGTACTAGTGTAGACTGTTTGACTTCATGATTGTATAACAAAAGTTATACAAACAAAGTTTTATGGATTTTTTTTAAAAAAAATCGTTTATTTTAGAACTGCCAACATGTCAACCATCCTGCAAGAACGGTGGTGTGTGCATTGCGGACAATACGTGCAGATGTCAATCAAATTTTTATGGACCGATTTGTGAAATCGGTAACTATTATTTTTTTTTTTTTTTTTTTTTTTTTTTTGTAAAAACAAATAACAAAAATGATCAAAATTAACTAAATGTAAATGGTAAAGTTAATTTAAATAACAACAATTTTGCAATGATTATTGCATTTTAAGGATAGCGTTATCGTAGTCCTGTCAGTGTTAACCCTTGCAATGCAATTCTAGATGAAAAGAATAATACTTATGTAGTAATTTATATAAAGGTAGCGTTATTGAGGAACGGTTGCAGCCACATTTCAATCCGTTGATGTCCAGAGATTATGACCCACTTTCGTGGTATGATGCTCCAAAAATGTCTGGAGATAACAAAATTTGTTACATCAAAATACAAGTGGAGGTAATTCTGTTGGTTTGCTTGTTTGTTTGTTTGTTTGATTGACTAATTAATTAATTGATTGATTGATGCATTCATTTATTCATTCATTCATTCATTCATTGAATGTTTCTGTTTTTTATTTTTGTTCTTTTTTTTCTTTTGTGTGTTTAATACCCATTCTTGTAATTCAAAAGCTTATTTCATTACCTTTTGAGTTTTATTTTATAATTATCAATTTCCTTTAACTAGGATGTGGATTAAAGCAGTATATTACTATTTCTATTAATGGTTTACGACATGTTACAAACAGCAACCGTTCATTGTATATACATATACACTAAATCATATTGAACAATTTACGTTAACTCATGTAGCAGAACGTGCTGTGAATGAAAATCATAATGAATAGATGTTTTCGAAAGCGTAGGCATTTCTATCCACAGAATGCATACTTTGACACGATATTCACCGCTGTGAGCACACTAGCTAACAACAAATCAGTTTCATTTGGAAACTTCACAACCGCTCCAGTAGATTCCGAGTTAAAACTGAATCACACTTCAAGATTTGCTTGCCTGAAGGTGAGATGTCCGGGTGTCAGTACAACTGGTTCACCATTTGAGGTGTCAGTAAATATCAGCGTGTCAAGTCCACAAAGAAAATGTACTGTGAAGTAAGTTAGAACCTATAAGGTGCATTTTTGTTTTGATGTAACTCATCTTTCTTATCATATTGATAGCAAATTGACACCATTTATACTAGTGGATGAAGTACAGGAAGCAGAAAGTTTCTAATCATTCAGAGAAACAATTTATTTTTTTTGGTTTAACCAATATCATATTTTCATTATTCATGAACATATTAGTTTAAATGTTAGCGGTTTGATACTTTTATGATACATATACTTAGATGCCTAGACATTTGTAAATTCTTTGAATATTTTTAAATTATAGTGAGAACAAATCAATGGAGAGTGTCGTCCTAACGGCGTATAATTACGGAGGTCATGATTATCTTACTCTCGAATTACAATCCGGAAACAACTACGGAGAAATCTACGGAATTTATGTAGGAACCGGGTTCCGGGACAAGGCGGAATTTCTAGCCAAACAGTCTTGCTATAGCGGGAGCAGATATGTATCACATTCAATCCAACCAGAAAAGAATGTTCTAGGATCAATAACATGTAATTGAAAAACAACTATTAAAAGTAAACAACTGAATCTTTTCTTTCTGAGATTAGGAGCTATTGAATTGTACGTATTTACTTGATGTAAAAACTACTCTGCAATTTTTGCTACCTATGACGCAGAAAGCTCTTATGATATAATAACAAGCATAAACTTTTCAATATATAAACCAGGTCTTTCCTGGACTTCGTAAATGATAGGTATATACAGGTATTTTGTAACTTTAAATAGATATGAATGAATTGGTGGTGTTCAACATATCATCGAGTGTTCCAAGTGTTTGCGAATATCTCGTTCGCAATTTTTAATAATCTCTAATCAGACCTGTTGTTTTTACCTTATTTTAAACGTGATGATTTATCATAATATATGTTACAAAGAAACTTTTTATCATCGTTTCTTTATTTCTTATCAATGATAATGATATTTATTCACTGATTTTCTACATCATACTTCTACTGGAAGTTTAATTTTGGATAGATAATGTCCGTCAAAAGCTATACATAGCTTATGCTCTGTGAAATGTTTTATATACATACCAAAAATAAATAAACACATTTTTATTTGATTTATGATTTGAAAAGCAAAGTCTGGATTGTGTAAACGTTTTTGTTCTTTTGTGTTTGTTTTGTTGTTGTTGTTGTTGTTGTTTTTTTCAAAAGCAACTTGTAATCTAAATATAACTCAAGTATAGAAAAGGCAATCGGAACGTCATCGGCTATTATCTTTAATAACCTCGGAAATAATACGGATAAAAAGTAGTTCTACCACGTGGATAATGTAAAACGAATGTATATATTTGACCTACAAAGGAAAATAAAGTTTGTTTCAGTACAATTATGATAAGAAATATGTTGGAGAACCATTTTTAATATGAATATAACCTCTAATGTACAATTTTAAACAAATCCGACTCAACTTTGACAGGTTGGCATTTTGTACTTTCGGTTTCTACTACCATAATAATAAGTATTGTTTACTATTATATCTATGAATTTACTTATTTTAGGTCGACCTTCACTTGATATATTGGATAAAAACTTGTCAACAAATCTTAGCATTAAATTACTATTTGTTTACATGCGTAGGTAAGACTGAAATACCGTTGCATACTATAGTTTTCGAGGTCCTTATCCGAAGACTGACGGAAAGGACCGAAAAGTTGCGATTGTAGAAAGAGTGCAACCTTTTCAAAATGGCGGCGCCTTGCTAACTAATCAAAGTTGTTAGACTTAGACATGTATTTTTTTTTAATTTATTTTAATTAATGTGATTTCAATTTAACTTATACGTGTACATGTTATCTAACAGCCCTCTCGGACTTTCCGCTGAAATTTTAAATGAAAAAATGTGAAACTCAATTACATGTATAATACGTTCCAAACGCGTTGCCCCTAACATCAAACACATTTTCCTCCGTGACATGGTTGGTGATCTCGAGACATTTGTTAATTTAATATAATAATGTTATATTTCATTTTTTTAAATAATAATTCTCATAGATTGTTGGAATAGTCCAAGCGGGAGCATTCGAAAAAAAACTTATCCCGTTTCCAGGCCTAAACCAGGTAATAGATCTATAAACTTTTCTTACAATTATCTCACGGACTGTAGCCATTCTTTCGTGCGTTACATTATATTTTGATACTCTAACTACGATGTATTTCTTACAATAGAATTGTATTTTACCTTCGAGTTGACGGACTTTCTACAAAAAATGGTCCGAGCGGGAGCATTCAGCAGGTGCGTGATGACGTACTATATCGTATCATTGATTTTGATACTTGAATTTTTTAATGGAACTTCATTCAAACCGCTGTACATATGACTTTACGTCAGTTCCATGCAGTCTCGAATACTCGAACCCTTTACGAGATGGACACAGCTGATACAGTTAAGCTATCACTTGATTGGACAAACAAGGATTAAAGAGTGTAAAACATTACCATTCTTACAAATCTTGCACTGGAGAGGCAAATAAAAGACAACCTAATGCGCGGGAAACTCGTTCTATAAGCAAACCACAAATCACGTTCATGCATGTATAGTTCAAACCAGGCTTTGAAAGACCCTGTTCAAACATATGTGCATAAAGATACAAAAAAAATGGAAAAAAATGCAATGCGGGCTTATTTTGACGAGACTGTCACGGAGAAATGTTCTTTAAGGATATCAATTAATTAGCTGTTAGTTCAAACATCCTGATTTTAAAAAGAGATTTTGTTTGATAATTATTTAAAACTTTAGTGTATAAAAAGTATATAAATATCCTATTCATTTTGTTGATATGATGGAGAGTGTAAATAAAAACATGTTTTTATAATTAAACAATGATCACTGGAGATCTTAATATTCTAAAACGAACATTCTATTCTTCAGGTTTTAACAACAAAAAGTATTGTTGTATTGTTTTACCATATCAGAAGGCACATATTTTCAGAATTATTATTATTGATAATGTTTTAATATTTTTACACAATAGGACTAAAATTGTTTCATTTAGTTAAATGCTTGTTTACTTCTTATACAGGCGGATAATTAGTAGGAGTGTCACGGTTACCAAAAATGTTAAAGGTGGTCTACTATAAACAGGAATGATAGAGGGCTATGATATAGTATCTTTTTGTAAGCAGATGGGCACTTATGTTAATTGACCAACAAAAACTTATTTTAGATAAGACAGATGAAATAAAGTAAATCAAACGTCAGTGTTAATATGATTAATTAAAAAGAAATCAGGGAAACTAGCATTTTATCCTTAAAGAAATACTTGCTGCTTTTTTAAAAATGGCGTTAGAATTGAAGGTTTTTTGGCCGCCACTATGTAAGACTAAATTTGTTTGGCCAAATATTTCTTTGAGTCCAGCTTAGATAGGTGAATCATAAAATAAGCTGGAAGCTAAGTTTCGGTTAAAATTTGGATGGATTTGGAGTTTTATGTTGTTTTCATTTGTTTCCTCGGTAAAATCATAACGTAATACCGGCTACGAGCCGGCACAGATTGTAAAAATATTAAGGCTTTTACCATCCGGATGTTTGGCTGTGACAGCTTGAATCTGATGCATATGAAATTGTGCTTAGCAAGAGTTTCTAACGTGCATTAAAATATCATGTACATGAATATATCTTTTCGTTCTTTTGTTTTGTGTAGCTTGTAAAACACAACCAAAGTTTTCCTTTGTATGTCTTGACTAATTCCTTGAGAATGTTCATATCACTTTAAAATCACAAAATATGTGCAGATATCTTGACCGGGATTCGAACCTCCTTAGCGAACATATTACCACTGCACCACAGCCTTCCAGTGTAATTTCCATCAATTATAATAATAATCATAATAATAATAATTATAATAATAAAACAATTTCTGGGGAGGCTTAGAATGGTGTTAACGATTTGGTAACAATCCATTCATACAATGCGATGCGAATTCTTGAACAAAATAGTTATATTTGTGGGATGCTTACCAATACAATGGTGTGGTAGAACTTGTTACGCGTTATTTTGTAAATATATGCGGAAAAAACCCCCAACAAAATAACGTTATCAATAATCATTTTCCATTTAATAACAGATTTTTTAGTATTATTAAAGTATATGTTTTTACAATAACTGCTCCCAGAAAGATGACTCATATCAAATTATAATAAAGGATAACAATATCAACAAAATAAGCCAGGCAAAAACTAATTACTTTCGGTTAAAAAGCAAACGAGAATGTGTCATCGATTGTGACTTATTTGTAATGATATAAAAGGTCGACCATAGTGCGTATTTGTAAATATAAATGGGCATAATTGCTGCCGTTAATTAAGCACAAATATGAATTGTATGAATATCATTCGATTTTTGCGCACGGACATTAAAAAACGCATTAACAGTATTGACTTTCCACTTTAAGGTATCATTTGTAATTATACTGTTGATTGATGCTGACTTCATGTATTTATATTTCGTTTTTGTTTACAGGTGTAATAACATTGGTACGGACATTTTATCTTTGTAAACATAGCTAGCACATAATTATTTTGGTCATCAAATTGTAATTATCTAAAATTTAGCACTATACATAGGGAGTCGTAAGCAAAACAGTTAGTAACAGTAATGTATATTTTTTTCCAAAAGACATCTCCCATATTTCTTGTGTTTACTAATTAATGCGTCACTTCGGACCTCCTTAAACAATTTGATAAACAGCGAAAGAAACAAAGTCAAGGGTTACATACTTCTGGGACTGACCTAGTTCTATAAATACGGCGCTGGTTTGTGATACATAATTATAATATTCATCAAAAATGACCTTAGCCTTTGTAACGACATGCTTAATCTTAAATTTCCTGTTACCATGGCAACGAGGAAACCTCTCAAAATTGCAAAAAATCACTATTTTGCGTTGATTTTTACCATCAAACTGATTTCAAAGTGCTGCAACTTGTCAATGGATTGAGATAGAGTCAAAGGTTTTTCAGCGTTGGTTACATATTACGTTAAGATCGATTTGAGGTCATTTTTGGCCTCTCACAAGTCTAAACTTTTCTTAGAGATCAAACCCCCTTGGAAGAAGGGGGCACATCTCTCCTTCAAACCCCTAAGCAGAAGGGGGCACATACCCCCCTCTGCCCCCCCCCCCCTCTTGATGTTGATATGAAATCGCTCCGAAAATGTGATCACCTGTTTTTAACAACATTTCTCAAACGAAAACAAGTGTTTTGTGTCTAAATAGGGCATTTAATTCACTATTTTGAGGCCTCAGAAGTGGGTGTGAAAAGTCGTGTATATATGGTAATGGGTTAAATGGTATTGAATTCCGAACATTTGCACCATTGTCACAAAAAGTATTTTACTTTAATGTCATGTTTAGCATCACTAGTCTATGTCAGTGTATGAAGCAGATATTGAATTTCATTGCTGGAAACAAGTCAAAATTTCAGACACATAAGAGGCGTTAAGTTGTTACAAGCTTTTTCGATGTACATTATTCCTAAAAAAATAAATTTTAAAAAATATATTTTTTGAAAGGGAACACATTAATTAGTTTGACAATTTTGAAATAATGGTTTTTGAGTATATTAGATGCTTTTTACCTGAAGAAAGTAGCGCCTAATGAAAATTATCTGTCATGAAAGAAGCAAAATGTAAACAAAGTAGTATTCTGACTTCCATACAAAGTACATAATCGCCATTACTGTACTAAATGCCAAAATGCAACAGCAACAAAGATAATTGGCCAATGACTAACTTTTTGAAAACATACAAAGAGGACGCCGAATATATAGTTTTTTAAGAAATAAAATTTAAAAACCATTCCTCCGACACAATGGGCCTTTAAGTAAAAGTCTCAGTATGCAAATTACATATTTCATTAAATGACATGCACAAGAGTTTTTTCAGTATATCTTGTGTTTTCCGGAATGTTTTGTTTAAAATGATTTTTTACGTAGATCTGCATACAAAGTCTCTTATAAAGAGCGGGTGAAACAGAAAAAAACAACACGTATCACATATCTAATTCTATATCAAACAAAAACGTAATAAATCGCAAGATAGCACAAGTTAAATATATAAAATGAACTGTTATTTTTAAAGAAATTGCAGTTAATTATACAGTGGAACAAAATATGTCACACATGTGATAAAATGAACTTATTCAAACTTAACAATAAAACAAAACATCAACATCAACAATATCAACACTATTACACATTTTGTATAATTGTACATTATAATTGTTCTTAAGGTATAATATTATATGATATACAATGTACATGTATATAGGATCTCGCATGAGTTGGCATATGATATAAATATTCTTTTAATAAAATATATAAAATTTCAAATTACATGACAACGGACGTGAGATTCTGTTTATCACGTGACCAAACGCGTTGAAATAAATGAAAATAAACTTGATTTAAACTTTTACGCGGAATTTTATCATATTCCGTGAAAATATATTCCATATTTCATTGAAACGAAAAATTTTCTTCTCAATACTAGTATTACGTAGAAAACAAGCGACAGTATGTGATAAAATTAGTGTTTTTATAACATGTACAATTATACTATGAGGTTATTACACAGTTTTGAGTACAATACTGATTTCTCTTGGACGAATACGATGCTGTGAAACTTATATTGGACGAGTCCAATAGAAGCAGTAATGTTCTCAACAATGTATCATAAAATCTTTCATTTCACACCACCATTTTTTTTCACAACAACGATTTGATATGATTTTTTGTACTATGAAAATGAAAACGATACTAGATGGAGTACGATATGTAATAAATACAGATGTTTTGGACTCTGAAAATGAAATGACACAATATGGGTACGATATGCATTTGATGTAGATAATATGAAATTGGGTCCAATAATGACTTCTGTTGGAACATTTCAGGTGGTTCAAACGCTGAAGATTCGTTGGTTCTATCTTATAAGGTGTGGAATAAAATAAAATATTACTAACATGTCCATTAGTAATATTCTTAATATCACTAAAGGTGATATTTAAATTTTGTTACATTTTCATTTTTATCCACTGATTTTGATTCGCAGATTTTCTTTCTGTTCACAGCTATTCATAATATTCAATTTGTTAAATAAGTCCACAGTTACAAACAGAAGTGTGAAAATATTTATGCAGCAAAGACATACGAATATTGAATGTATAAGTTAGTCCCAAATCGTTTGAAAAAGAAATACTTAAGATTTTGCCAGTCCAATTCTTTGTTCTTTAATTTTGTCTTTTTTATCAAAATGTAGTTCATATGTAAGTCACAAAATTTTAAGATTATGTAATCTTTCACAATGGTGTCTTCAAATGTATTTTATTATCCTCTTACATATTCGGATGCTGCCGCTGTGTAAATAAGAATGATGATGGACGGAATGTACGTGACAACTACAAAAAGAACGAAAAGAATTTTATCTATCGCATCACTAACGTCTTTCCATTCAATATCTTCGTCTGCTATTTCATCCTCAGGATCTGTAAATGCATCCTTGCTTTTGACATCTATTCTAGCCGAAGATTTTTTCCGCGGCGGTTCGTGTTTAACTTTACTGCGGAACCATTTTCTTTTTGTGAATTTCACGGTAGATTTGTAAATGTTTGCCATTTTATCTTTTTCAGTCCTATTGTAGACGATCAAATTTAGAACGACGAATAAAAGTCCTAGAATACAGATAATCAGGTTAATCAAAATGTACACACATATTATTGGCAGAGGCTCGGAGTTTTTCGGAAGGTCCTCGGCTGTTACCGTCAGAAACACGGCAAGGGATAACATAATCGTAATCGCGTAGCTCACCCGTTCACCGGACTCGGTTGGCAGAAGAAATACCAAACATGTAAGCATTCCAATGCCATTGATTGGTAAAATCACGGTAAGCATATAAAATGATGACAACCGTGCAATGTTGAAGCTGTAAACTATCTCACTCATGCCAAAGACAGTACCCAATTTGAAGTCAAACGAATTTGTGTCTAAATACCACTCACCGTTTTCCGAATAAATACCGGTATCAACGACGACTCCGGGTACAGTGAATGTCAGTTTGCTGGCCATATAACCGTAAGGGAATAAATTCAAGGTGCAAATATGTTTATCGAATGGCCAGAACTTCATAGAAAACGAACACGAGAACTGTATGATTCCCCCGACAGTAAACATAACCTTGCCGTTATACATGATTGTAGCCTGCATCCATGGTGTATCCAGAAGTGTGAACTTGACTGGATTGGACACCGTTAGTGGTGGGGTCCAGATATTCTCAGCTTTCATGGAGAACATCATGGTTCCGTTATGGTCAGACGGTGTCCATGTCAATCTCTCATCGTACCATTCCTGAGTGACCATGATGCCCATTGTTATGGCTCCGAGTACTGGGTTCACTTCCGGCATTGTAAATACCATCGTGGATAAGTTAACGTTTAAACTGCCCGATTGGTCATTCAACGGAATCATATCAGCATTGTATGACGTCAGTAAAGTTGTACGTAAATTGTTTACATTTTCGTAAGTCTGGCCTTTGACGGTGCCCATCAGGATTCCGAGTAAACATAATGAATAACCAACAACGTGTATCATTTTGACACCGCTTTTAATGTTAACTAGCATACACTGAAAAATTCCATTCAACAAGTTTCTCTTTTATCGTTTGAACAAAAGTATTTCTTTACCGTGTTTTAATTTCAAATGGAAAAAAAATATCCTGATTAAAGTCTTTCACTTTTACATTCGGTTGATAATTCCCTCTTGATGAATTATAATAATGAATAACCAACATATATATCGAATTTTATGTAGAGTCTAAATACATGTGCCCTATTAAAGCTCCCCGCAAATTGATTTTGCTGGCCGTAATTACGTAAACATTATCTATTACGCCAGATACACGCTGGGCAATAATTATTCAATATGAATTCAGTGTCAAAAATATTAAAAAGTCAGATAAAATGTTAGAACTTGCCAATAGTATAACGCGAACAAACGATTTGTGGACACTGTTAACCCTTTTAAAACGTTTCGACCTATTATAACATCTTATATGATTAGTGTAAGCTAATACAGCCGGATTTAAACCAATATTACTTTTGTTAGCCTATGAAAGTGGTTGATGACCAGTGAAATATTGGCATTTTCATTGATTTATAATCTTAGGTCCGCAATTAAAAAAAAACTTTTCTTTGTTATACTATCTCATCGATGTAAATGAATCTCCCATAATTTGGTATATATTCACATTAAATCAAACGGAAAGATAGTTTTAAGTTACGTGTGATCATTGTTTAAGATAAGATCGTTTTTTTTTGTACGTTTATCTATTCATCAAACATATTCAATATGTCCATAAAATATCATTCTCATAGTTTAACAGTTGAAAAATTAGATATGGCGAAATATAGATCTCTAGTATAACAATTTTCATAAAAAAAGGAAGAAAAAAAAACTGTACACTCGTTAATTTTGTTTTAATTTGTCCATTATTTACTCTGAGTCCTAAGAAAATTGTATAATTATACCACGTCTGGATTCATGCTGGTCGCAAACCCATTATGTTGGTTTTGTCATGACGCGGCTCATTTATTTCTGCCAGTTATTCCAATAAGCTCCGTATAGAGGCCTCGTTCGTGGTACACGGATACACCAATGCAGTTCAATCTGGTTATAAGGCAGGGTTCGTTCTCTCTCATACAACTTCCTTGCCTCATTTTGAAGGGAAACTGACTGTAAAGGCAGCACACCACACTAAATGAAGCCGCAGCTTCGAATGGCCAGGGAGGATTTCATTGATATAGTGACTATTGTGGATTTAAATGACTGGTTGTCTTTAAAATGCATTTTCAGCATGAAATTTGTTTTTGTGACATGTAATATGATCATTGGCAAATTCGAAAACATGGTTAGAAATCACATGCTGATAATTATTGATGTCAAGGTCGCCATTGTTTGTAAACATTGCTTTTAAACAGCATGCTCGGTGAAAACAAGTAATTTTACAGGGGGGTACAAACTTTCAGCAATAGCAAAAAATCTACAAGGCCAAGCACCTATTTCTTTGTGATATTTTGCATGCATAGGGAGTTGCTAAAGTAGTGACAGAGTTTTTGTAGACCGTATATTTGCAGGTATTTTTTGCCGAAGGGACGAAAAATGTTATTTTGGGTCTCGGACCACTATAGATTTTTGGCTTTTACGGAATGAATTGGAATTTTTTTAACTGCCTGACTGTTGCATATGGGATGATTTCATTACAGATTTGCAATGGTACGACATATATGTTCTTAACAAAATGTGTTTTCTTTTTCCAGGTTGTGTAGTTTGGGATCAGATTTATCAGACATATTGCTTGTAGGACATTGACGGCAGAAACTTGAAATTTAGTGTGGAGTGCTAACTTAAGTTATCAACTTCAAATTATCACTTTTATTCTTTCCACCACTGTATTCTATCACTTTTGCCACAAAGGTGGTACATAATTATGGAGCCCGCAAATATACCACGTGACTGAGAGAAAGTCCCACTATGTCACCTTATTATTTCATAGGTCCATTGCGAAGTATAATAGCTGAGGAGGTCAGATTGCGGTCCAGTTTTAATTAATTGTTTCAGTGCATTTCAAGGATGCTAGGGTGAACGAGGCCTTGATGGTTTGACAATGACGGTTTTATAGGCATGACATTTGCTTTGCACCGACAGTCCTTATCATGGCTACCTCCTGATTTCTGTATGTGTAGGTGATCATTGCTAGCTGTATTGTGACCTACTCAAGATTAATATTTTGGCAAATACTGTGTGGAAATTGCACGAAGGTAAATTATCTCCACTTAAAGAAAAATTGTGCATCAGAAATGAACGAATGAATATTTACTATTTTAGAAAGAACACGAACACGAGTTTTATACGTTTAAATAATGGTTTTAAAGCAGATTAGATGCTTGTTGCATGAAGATAATAGCGCCAGATGTAAAATGACAGGACTCAAAAGTAGCGAAATATAAACAGAGTACATTGTAGTATATTGACTTTCATACAAAATACTATATCACTATAAATGTGCTAATTGCCAAAAAGCAACAGGAGAAGAAGAAAGTTCAGGTAATTGGTCAAATCAGAGACATATAATATACATTATACAGTATATTAACGTCTCTGGCCAAATGAGCAACTTGATGGACACTATAGCAGAATGCCAAAAATAAAAATACATGTATTTTGAGAAATGAAAATGAAAGCATTTCTGGGGCATAATGGGCCTCTAAAGCTTCAAAATCAAACCTACTTTAAAAGCCTAGATTCATTCTTTTTTACATTATTTTTTTCAAGACATATTTAAAAATAAAATATTGTGAATTGAACAAAGAAAGTATTTAACACATTGCAAGCAGCACTTAAAATCCATGTAATTTACAAAAAAAAAGATTTAAAAAAAACATGCCAAAAATAGCCTTTTATTGCATGCATTAGAAATATGGTAAATACTGTAAATCATGAAAATTACTACTTGAATTAATCTTGAATCTTTTTACTTTTCTAAAAAACTTAGTCCTTTTCTTGAAATATTTTGGCTCATTTGAAGGCATGTACCTTTGAGGACATGTATGGTGACATGCCTGACGTCCGCACTAGACAGCGAAAGGTGCGTGTTGTGCCTTAACGGGCGGATGGACCCTCATTAAACATATGTATGCATTTATTATATACTTACAAATGAAATATTGAGAAATATTGATAAAATAAATTGCGTATTTTCATTTTCCGTATTTTAATTCACTGTAAAAATTTATGTTTCACTGCAGTGAAACATATTTTCTTTATTTTCGCTGGTGTCTTGGCGGACTACTTTCTTCTACATTCTTCCAGTACACAAAATTTAACGGAAATTCTTTAAAATTGTAATGTCCAAATGTAAAAAATGTAAAATTTTATAATAAACAGAAAATTTAAGTTTTTATCTAAATAAAGGATATATTTTCATCTTGTGGTATGAAAATTATCATATTTTATTCGTGGCTATCGCTCATACCACTCAATGAAAATAAATCGTGTATTTAGAGAAAAAAACTTGAATATCCTCTATGTATCAGTTAGTATTAGTAAATTATACGTTGTGCGAAACAGATTATAAAAATAAGCAAATATAAGCAAAAAATAAATCAGTACATTTTTGTTAATAGGGGTTAATCTTCACTGCAGCTGTAATGGATTACTGCAGTTTAAGGTCATGTTATTTAAATAAATCAGTTAGTCGTTTAGAATTCGAATAAGACCAAAATAAATTACACGAGAAAAAGTCGATAATATTTAACTTATATATTCATAATTGAAAGTAACAACCGGTCATTCAACTACTAACTGATTCTTTTAACAATGTATATATGTATATGATTATTTGGGCAGGAAACTATTTCTAAAATTGGAGTTATAATCTTTAAATAATAATAATAATGATGATGATGGTGATGATGATAGTGGTGATGATGATGATAACAAATTAAAGAATCTACCATTTGAATTACTATCGCTTTTGAAATACATGTAGAAATATGTAATTACATCTCTGTTATAAGAGGAATAATATACTTTTAGAAATAAAGACACCCTTTCGATTCATATCCACCAAATTTAATGGTACAAATTGACAAAAATTGCTCATATGAGCGAGTCCTCCAAAAGAGTATGTCATTTTAAACTTTAGAGGATATCCAAGTTTCAGATACAAAAATTACTCTAAATCCCAAAAAACTTCTCATAGGTCTTGTGTTTAATTCGAATTAAAGTCTTGCCCGAAAGACGGTTTAGTAATTTATTTGGCCAGCACGAGTATCGAACCCACAATGCCGAGATTTCACGTCTCGCGCTCAAACCGATTGAGCTTACAGACTTGCAACCGTTAATATCGCAAACATTGACGTTAAATATCGCGCCGCAAATATTTTCTACTGATAATACAAATATCGCAAAATGTTTTTCCTGTCGCTAAATGTCGCAATATCGTCGATAAATGCCAAAATGGTAACGTAAAATGTCACACACTATTTCAATGCCGCTAATTTTCGCAACAACGCCATTATTAAATGTCGAATGACTTATGTTTGGGTCAAGTTAGAGATAGATTGCACAAACTTAAGTATAAAATGTAAATATGTGAAGTTACTGAATGAATTTGTTTCTTAAATAACATAGACTTCCAAGCTGTCTTTTAGTAACGATATGGCTTGTTCTATATTTAAAATCATCACACACCGCTTTGTTTTTGAGATTCCGTAAAAACGGTATAATTTGGTTTACCATTTGTGTTAAACAAATAGTCTCTGCGCAGTGGTCCGTTTAATCATTTTTTTTGCCAAATATGAAACTCACACCATAGCCAGTATATAGTCTTTTCTGTACAAAAATCTAAATCTTACAAAATTTTGCTTTCACAACGCTTCAGAATCCAAGATGGCGTCCAATATGGCCGCCGATTTTATGCAAATCGGTATATATCTTATTATGGTGAAATAGTTAAAATAAGATAGTTTTTATCAGGTTTTATTTTGGATATGTGATAAATCAGACGTTATTATTTATGTACCTTCATCACTAAATTTATTGAACTCGTAGAATAAAAATAAAACACATGTATTTTTATTCATTCAGTATTGAACCTGCACTGATTCAATAGCCTCTATTTGTTGACCATAACGATCACACAGAGTTCCGACTATGATTTCAAGAACGCATACGTGTCTGTTATTTAGGAAACCTTGGGTTCGAGCTTCGATCACTACCTATGATATAAGCACACCAGGGAGCAGTTAAGACAGATTCAAATAGAATTGAATCTTTGAAATTGACCTGTATGTGTATGCTCAGAAGAACAAGTCAATTTGTAATATTATAACATGTATAATATTATATATATTTTTGCTCGTCCCCCTCTCGCCTTCTGTTTCAAAGATATCAATGTATACATTTAAATACCACAGATATATATTTAGCTCCATGTATATACGTACATGTATATATATTAACACAATTATATGTTGGTTTTACCGGTTTGATAAAAAATTATTGATGTAAAATCGAAGGTATTAAATGAGTTATTTACATTATTGGACGGTTAATGGGCACAACTTCAAAGACATTATGTTGATATAAGTTAAAACTTCAATTAAGAATGAATAACACCATTTACAGCTTATTGTCAAGTTAGCTGATTTATGCAAATGGTAGATTGAGAAAAGTAAATGTTTACACGCATGCATTTAGAATAAACTGGGACATAATGTTATGTCCTAGGTATTAATTTAAAGCAAAATCA